CGAAGAAGTGGAAAGCCATATTTATACAATCAACAAATGTGCTTCCTGTCACATTTTACTTAAATAGGACGAGGAAGTCAAAAGCCTAATTCACTCAAAAAAACAACATGGCCAATATTTATCAGACACTTAAAAAGCACATTGTACCATTTGTTTACAAGCAAGAACATTATTTTCTCCTGGAATTTAATGAGGTGCTTTTGACTGACAAAGACACCCGGTCAATGTTAAGTTTTGAAAACTTATATTGTGAGAAATAAAGACATGAAAATTTCGGTTTGTTTTTCTATATTAAATATGAGAAATCCAGATTGTTCCATCAACATTATTTGTACCGATACATATATTTTATCTTGGCTTGATTACCAATTGAAGTTGATTCCTCTTCATCTTTTGTTATCTGTACTCATATCTGATCAAGACATTTTCAAACTATTCAGGATAAATGTATTAGTAGCTTCCTTTTGATATACAATTACCTATCATCATACAGGATTAGGTCAGGGTGTTCAAGAAGTTGGTGGTTGTTTCAATTCTTATATTTCTTCAATTTCATGCATGATTTATATTTATCAATTTTAAGTTTCCTTTTAACCTATTGTAAACAGTTCACACATTATTACTTTTGTCGTGCACGGTGCAATCTCAATCGGCAATAATCGGTTAAATAAGTGATGTTTGAAGAACAAGTAAAGTATCATCTGTCATTGTACACACTGAATAGAGTTATCGCCCCTTCTGAATCTTTATTTTGACAGACGAGTTATTTTGTGAACTTATTTAATTTACATCGTAATATGTTCAGATGAAAATCATAACAGAAAAAGGTTTTTTTGTCAACTGGACTCATGGCAAAACGACAGTGCGTTGTCCAGCAAACACCACTATGAAACGTGAAATAAACATGATCGACGATCTCGAGTTCGCCAAGCCACGCATTGACTGAGCAAATTTGCAAAAGTACTCTGACCCGTGTTTCATGTTATGCGGTTCATTTATGATACAAAACTTGTCATTGAATGTACTGTCACATTGTACCTATATGCTGACGAGGTTATGATGAAACAATCTATTTCTGAAATACGTATCTCGAAATGCACCTTTTCGATTAACTTCCGGGATCCTGACAGCAAAATGATAATTCCAGTGTATTACAGGCATATTTTAGTTGGAACTCAGGATAAAATGTGAATTGAAATATCTTCTGTATTAGATACAGAGGATACGCTTTTTTTTTGAAATGTCCAGCAGTAAAATGTATAACATGCTGTCTGTTCCCTATCAGCTGATGCGACTCACACTGCATGGAGCTATGCTCTCCAAGCCTCGTTTTCGATCCAAGATGGCGAAAGTGTGAAAAAGGTCGATACATGCCATAAGAGGCGACTAACGGGATCTGATGGTCAGGCTCGCTTACTTGGTTGATGCATGTCATCCTATCCCAATTGTGTAGATCGACGTACATGCTGTCAATCCAGGATTGTCTGGTCCAGACTCGATTATTTACAGACCACCGTCATATAGCTAGAATATTGCTAAGTGCGGTGTTTAACAACAAAGACAAACAAAAACGAAGGTAAAGTCAAAAACATTGAATATAAACGTTAATGTTGAATGGTAGCAAAATGTTGAATATATATACCATGTCCTGTTTATATGTGATTATCACAAAAAACTACGAATGCGTTATAATTCAATCTGGGGCACGGGTGGCGACGCAATTCGCTCTGCAGTGAGAAAAGTGAGTGAGTGAGTTTGGTTTAACCGCTTTTAGCAATATTCCAGCAATATCAGGGCGGGGGACACCAGAAATGGGCTTCACACATTGGACCCATGTCGGGAATGGAACCCGGGTCTTCGGCGTGACGATCGAACGCTCTAACCACTGGGCTACCCGACCGCCCCCAGTGAGAAAAGACGTAATTGTTACGTATGGACTGTAATAATTATTAAATCTGTCCATTAAGCCTTTAAAATTGGAATTGTTTAGAGGTATCATAAGTGTACCACATAGTCGGGCGCACTTTTATGCAGCATAAAGTGAGCACAGAGGCGCTGGAGAACACGCAGTGAAAACAATATTTTACGTTCGCTACATCGGGCACCTTTCATCACTGCTCAGCGTAACACCGATCGCGATCTGTTTCTTACTGATCCACAGTATCATGCTTCCTTTTAACTGTTTACAGACCGCCGTCGAATAGCAGGAGTATCGGTGGGTGCGGCGTTAGAAGATAAACAAATACTTACACTTTTCTGTAAATAAGGGCGGTCGGGTAGCCTAGTGGTTAAAGCGTTCGCTCGTCACGCCGAAGACCCGGGTTCGATTTCCGACATTGGTACAATGTGTGAAGCCCATTTCTGGTGTCCCCCGCCGTGATATTGCTGGAATATTGCCAAAAGCGGCGTAAAACCTTACTCACTCACGCACTCACTGACTGTAAACACTGTGAGTTACCGGTGCTACTGGCAGAGCAGAACATGCTTGTACTTTCGTGAACACTTGGTGTCACTGATTTTCTGTGATACATTCATATAAGTTGCCAACGATTTGCTTTTTCCTTCCATTCGAGCTGTTAAGGCAGATAATCGAGACTGGGTATTCTCTGCCATTTACGTTTTGAATGAATTTTATTATAAAAGTAGACATTGTATCTTTTAGAGTAAATGAATGTTGTTTGAAGGCGGTAATAACAAACGACTACTGAGGAGATAGATCTGCTGTGTTTTGAAACTAGATGTATTATAACGCGTGTCGTTTAAAAATAGACTTAGAGCAGGTATAAATCCGTTATGATATCTCTAATTTCAAAACACAGCAGGTTTATCTCCACCCTACCATGTATTAACAATTTTATTTTATTTTGAACTCTCTCATGGCTTTGGTTTCAGTACGTGATGAGGCCTCGCCTTCCAGTCCCAGGAGTTATCGCCCGTAAGGTTGAGCTCTTCATCACTTAATCCATCTTTGAAAACAGATGTGAAATTTCAGACGGAAATCTAATTAACAAATCAGAATCAAGTATTTACTCAAGTCATGGTAGAATTGTTCATTTAAGAATTTACTTCAATACATTATTTGACGTGTATTGAGGTATGACCGTATCAGCCGATGTGCACACTCGGATTTTCGAAAAGTGGGATGCAGTTTTTTACGTTTATAACACCATAAAGTCAAAAACATATTGAAGCCTGTTATTAAAATATATACGTCAATCATTATCATTCATAGACTGCTTATTTAATCATAAACACACAAAACTGAAGGCAACCATACGAATTCAGGCACCTCGCTCAAGGCAACCATACGAATTCAGGCACCTCGCTCAAGGCAACCACACGAATTCAGGCACCTCGCTCAAGGCAACCATACGAATTCAGGCACCTCGCTCAGGGCAACCATACAAATTCAGGCACCTCGCTCAGGGCAATCATGCAAAATATCTCGCTTATATTATTATCAGCCAATCAGGAAACCATATTCCTTTTATTGGGGGAGGAATAATCAGCAATATTACCTGGTTAGCCAATCAAATCCCTCGGATGCTGTAGAAGCCGTTGATGCTGGGATAACGGCGTTATGTCTGGCATCAGTCCAAGCACCTGTTCATACGTTGGATAACAGCATCGCTACCATTGTTATTGACGATGAAAAGCAAACCCTATTACATCTGGCACCGTCCAGGGGAGACAGAGAAGCTGTTCTGAAGTTGCTCGATGATGAAGCTGACGTCAATGCTGTGGACGTGTCACATCAGACGCCATTATACCCTGCAGTATGCCGGGGAGATAGTGCCACAGTCAAGTTGCTGCTGGATCATGAAGCTGACGTCAGTGCAGTTGATTGCTACCTTCAGACGCTATTACATCTAGCTACAGAGAACTATGGAGGTACTTCCACGCTTGAAATGTTGCTGGATCATGAAGCTGATGTTGATGCTGCTAATGATGATGGTCAGACGCCATTACACCTGGCAGCGACAAATCTTGGAGGAGCTTAACTTGGAGGTTAAGATGTTCCTGCAGCTCGAGGCTTCTGTTGATGCTGTAGATGCCCCTAGACAGACGCACTGCATCTGGCCGTATCCTTGGGGATTATTCACACTGTTCAGCTTTTGTTCGAGAACAAAGCTGATGTTTATGCTTTTGATGCAAAAATGAAACCTTTGCATTTAGATGCAAGCAGAGGAAATTCCAGCCTTCGGTGAAACCCACGAGCAGGGGTATGGTGCTGACAAACCAAGAAACATAATCGGGGCGAACCGGGATTCGAACCCACAATCATAGGTTTCTGGCGTGCCCAAGGGACGCAACTCTACACAGCGAATCGCGGCGCCTTAGACGACTGGGCCACCCGTGCTCCTGCTTTGTCCAGATGTTGCTGGGATGTGATGTCAACGTCAGTGTTGTTGATGCAGCAGGCAGTATCAAATGGGGTATTTGACACTATAAAATTGTTGTTAAAGCTGATGTGAACGCTGTAAATGACTCCTTACAGACGCCTCTGCATCTGGCATCAGAGAAGGGATACTCCGATATCGGACAGCTGCTGTTGTGTCATAGGGCTGATGTCAAGCTAAATTTTGATCATGAACCTACATTGTTTCAAAAAGAGCAACATTTCATTCATAAATACGCGCCTAAGTTAAATGTAAAGGCGTAAGTTATTTGTCCATTGTCACCTTGGTATTCTGACGTCATAGTTTCCTAAATGTTATGACGTCACGTAACTATATGTTACTGCTTCATGTCCGTTATTCAGTTATGGCCTGATGAGACTCGTACGTGGTACGAGTTGAAAGCGCTAGCCTATTAAAACTGTGTTCAATCTTACTCCACTTATTTAATTATTACTATATTGTCCCTGGGAGTTGTATAACTTGTAAATGTTTTAAGATGGCCACGTGTGATGATAGCATAAGCATTAATAATTGGTGGATTATGGGATATTCCTTAAGTTTTAATGTAATGTAAAACAAATGTGTCAACTTATTACATACCTTATTATGACAGTTCACAGATATTACAGAATTTCGCTTCTCCGACATGCTTGCCAGTTTCTATTCGTAGTTTATGGCAACCCGAATCTAAACTGAACAAGAGCATGTCTATGTTTCAATCAGTTGACTTTGTGGATATGTGATTCAACAACGAAAATAGCCTTATTAAACTAGGCAAAAAGTGAGCTCACTAATACCCCCGATTTCGACTGCAACATATTTCTACGTTCAAAACATGAAAAAAGCAATATTGTCTCAGAAATCCACTTATCAAAACAAACTTAGCTCTGCACATGCCAGTCTTGATACCATCTGTTCTTGCCAAACAAATACAAATTCATTGACCTGTAATGTACGCTTAATCCTAGATGCCCAACTTCTACAACCATTACCTCCTATTTAATAGGCATGAAATAACAATTTTTGACTTAACGCTCAATTGACTTTTGAATATTTTACACCAGTATTCAACAGACCTTTCGATGATATATATATTCAATGGATATCTGCCACATTCGCCTCGCACAACATGTGCTGACACATAAGACAAGCTAACAAATGTACAACTTTAATTTCCTTAACAACATTCAGTCCCCACATTTCTGCAATATAATAAAATACGACAAACTTTGGTGTAAATAAATCTTTAAGAAGACATCAAAAGGTAACGGCTTAAACATCGAGAGTGGTCAACTATATACCAAATAATAATAGTTTAGCCTGCAAACAAACATTTTCGATGTGCTAGGTCCATACTAATGACCTCCTGTATCTAGATATCTATACCAGGAAACACATTCAATTGTAGGCCATTACAGAGCCATTTTTTCATATTTCGACAATCTTCCACCATTTGTAAAAACCTATTACCGTTAAGGTTGTTTCATATATACCGTCAAACAATTCCCAAACAAAAGTATTTCAGGACATTAACGTTCTTCTGTAAACTACAAAGTGTATCAGAGATAAACACAACATCATCAGAATAACAGAAGAAACAGCTGTGCAGGTTCAGGATGAAGCTGAATTCCTGACACGCCACATGTTTCGGTTTCATAAGATAATTCATTGATAAGAATTGAAAATAGAAGGCCTTGTCATAAACCCAGTAGACAATCAATACATGTTGAAAACATATTATTAAATTTGACACATGCTTTAACACTTTTATTGAGAGTTTGGATTGATTTTAACATTTTACTTCCTGCCCCTCTTAGCCTTAAAAATGTACCACAATTTTCCCTATTAAGTCAAAAGCGTTTTGACAAGTCTATATAAACTGACGTCCAAAAGAATCTTTACCAGAGTTTGAAATCACTCTTGCTCAAAAACAACGAAACATACATGCATGAAGTAAAGTGTATTGAGAAGATCAATATATCAACATAATCAACATTGAAAATGACAATCATACCGCGACCGAGAATGACGTCAGAGCCCCCCAAAGTTGGGTGTGGTACAAAACTCGAGCTTTCAGAATCATGGACAATAGGCAGAGTACATAAACAATTGCTCACGTTCAATAACAAGTCATTAGTAGCGTGTGTGACCACCAAATGCCTAACGCAAAAACTCTTCGACGCACAGAAAAAGTCAGTCGTCTGATGAGGTCACGTGGGATTTGAGGCCATTATTCTTGGAGGGCTGGAGAGTGTGGTCGTTGTCGAAAACGACGATCCATCGAGTCCCAGAGGTATTCTATGGGGGACATGTCGGGTGAGCGTGCTGGCTACGGCAAGTTAGTGACAATTCTGGCTGTATGGGCTCTAGCATTGTCATGCTGATAAATGACACCACGTGGCTGCTGTTGGAGAAATGGTAGGACAACTGGACGAAGAATGTTATCCATGTAAAGCTGAGCTGTCAAGTTTTCGTTAACGATGAACAGCAGTGTCCTCTCCTGCCCACAGATCCCTCCCCACACCATGACACTCCCTCCACCATATGGTACGACCTCCTGCACGCAACACGCCGCCGTTCGTTCACCCCTTCGGCGGTAAACACGTTGTCTTCCATCAGCCCTAAACATACAGAATCGACTTTCGTCAGTGAAGACAACCCTCTGCCAGTCACGTCATTGCCAACTTCGTACAGTCCGGGCCCATCTCAATCGCAGACGACGATGTTGCGCTGTCAAAAGCTGTCCTCTGTATGGTCTAAAAGCCCTGATTCCATGAGCCCTGAGTCTCCTGGCCACTGTCTGTCGACTAACTCTGTGACCTAAGGCATTTGTCGCCGATGACGTCACTGTCAGGAAGCGATTTCGGAGGTGAAAGGTACGCAAGTACCGGTCATCATGGGGCGTGGTCACCCTGGATCTGCCTGTTCTTGGCCTGTCAGCGGTTCGCCCTGTCTGTCTGTAACGTTGCATCAAGTTGGTAACGGCAACACGGGAGCAACCGAAGGTTCGTGCAATATAGGCGTGGGTGGCTCCCATCTGTACCATACCCAAGGCTCGTTCACGTTGTACGACTGTGAGTCGTGGCATTTCTTTTGTGTGTTTTTTATCACTGTGGATGTCTGACTTGCCGTTTCAATCGTTTTATACCCTTACCTGCACGTGCATTTGCAGTTGTCCGTGGTGCACGTGTTTTTCACTCTTTTGCGTGTTATCTCGCAAACATGTAACAGACGATTAACATTTTCTGCATACACTATTGTTGTATTTAGGTTATGTGTTTTAGATTGACTTCATCGAAAAAAAGTTTATACTTTGTCTGAAATTTATATTTTCAGTTGGTAAAGTTTCTTTTGGACGTCAGTTTACATACATACAATTTACCTCTTTTTAACAGTGACGCTAAATGACAGAGTGCAGGTTTAAAGCCCACTTGCGATTCAACATAGCAAGAACACCAAAATGTTAGTCTCTTATTCAGAATGTGAATGTACAACTTGCTAAAAAAATATTTGTAATTGATATACCTCTAATTATAGCTACACTGGTATCCCCTTGCTTAAATAAAGGTACAATTAGGTCCATGCACCACGATTTTGGAAAATATGATCGATCAAACAGAACATTGAATAACAACTGAATAACGTTAACTAAAATATCCCGTGAGAACCTCAAACATTCTGCTATGATATGATCAGGTCCAGCATTCTTAGATGATTTTAGTTCTGTAATTGCTGTACAAACCCCCTCTCTTGTTTACAGGAGACTCAAGTATAATAAGGCTTGATATCATGGTCAAAAGAATGAAATCTGCCATTATATGTAGTGGTATGCTGAAACATATATTTGAAGTGTGTATACCACGAGTCCATTGCTATGTGCCGAATAGCGTTGCTAGATGAAAAATGCCTGCACATTGTGCTCCACAACAATCATGAGTTATTCAGTTTTGTAAATAATCTATCATTTATATATTCGTAGTAATTTCTTGTTACAGGTTTTACAGTGCAACTGTACCTGTTTCTGGCATGCAAATACTTTCGTAGCGATGATTCATTATTAAAATGCACAAATCTCCAAATCTGCACTTCTCTTATCTTAGAAATGTGCACTTTTTATCAAACCAGGGTTGTGAATTTCGTCTATCAAAACTGCATTTACGTTTCATGCACTATGCAGCTTGACATATTGCATTTGTAAGAGATGTTACTGCACTATCAATATAAGAAATAACTTTGTCACAAAAGCTATGAAGCAATCTAGATATATCAGGTGAAAGTAGATTCAACGATCGTCATGTTACTAAACTAAATTGTAATGAAAATATTTTCTATTATTTTTACTCATACGCATACCATTATTTTGAATAAAGTGATATTCAACATTTTTACTAAGTTCTTCGTTCATTTTACAAGGAGACTTCCTCGGGGTAATTATCTTCAATAGAAGTGTGATAGTGCCATGTCACGAAAACTGTATCACACAACTTAGAACACAGTCCATAAATATCGCAATACAGGCCTATAATACAAGACTTTGATTTGGCGGACCAACGCCCCTATCTGTTATTATTCGGACCATCCTCCATATTACGGTGACCTTGTAGTCAAAGCGTATGTACCTGTGAAGATCCGGGGTACAATAGGTCTTCAGCAACACATGCTTGACAAAAAAGGCGACTATGCTTTTGGTAAGAAGCGACTAACGGTATCGGGTGGTCAGGCTCGCTGACTTGGTTGTTGCATATTATTATATCCCAATTGCGTGGATCGATGCTCATGATGTCAATCACTGGATTGTCTGATCAGACTTGATTATTTACAGACTGCCGTCATACAGCTGAAATATTGATGAGTGCGGTGTTAAACAAAAAACAAACAAACAAACAAGGCGTATGTTGGTACCAGTCTGTGTGTCAGACTATCTGGCTGGCTAGCAGACGATTCGTCAGCGTCTTTGACGATGAGCTCGCCGATTCTTATGATAACCCATTTCTTTCAGTTTCTGTAAAGTTTCTCTTTGTTTCATTGTAAGGTCGTTAGAGATGCCATACCCAATGCTTTTCAGGTAATGTCTCAGGCTGACCGCCTGTGACTTATCTTCTGGACATATACACTTCACTATCATTTGTCTGGCTGATGTTTATCCTGTAGAGCCCAGGCGATGTGCTGCTATGACAGCATCAGATGTGAGTGGTGGGTCCTCTTCCCCGGCTGTGTCGTTGAGTATATCGCAGACATACTTCTTACATATAAGGAGAGCCTCCTTCTCTGACATACCGTAGAATATCATGCTATTTCTATTGCATTACTGCTCCTGTCTATCGAGTTCATGTGTAAGTTTGTTATATCTGTTGTAGTAAGTCTGATTAGTTCTCAGTCCTGCACCATTATATATATGTAGGTGGGTTTTTTCTTACTGAAGGCCTTGGCAAGTCTACACCAGACTAAACCAAGTCTAGTTTCCTTGATTCCACACTATGAAAACAGCAGAAGAGGAAAGGTTCTTTTGAAGAAAAAAACTTACAATTATTTTAAAGGAATGTTTTCATTGATTCCACTCAGGTAAATTTTCTTGGCGATATAGGATGTTCATGGGCGGCCAAAGAATATGCTGTGAAGACAATGCTTGTTACGTTGTATCCGCTCTCAAGGTTGTGTCCATG